TGTACAAGTGTTTTACTTGCATGTATGTCTCTGTATCACATGATTGCCTGGTCCTACAAAGGCCTTAAGAGGGCATTAGATCCCCTAGAACTGGAGTTAGAGGCAGATGTGAGCCACCATGTGAGTGCTGGGAATCAAACCAAGGTCTTCTAGAGAAGCAGCAAATACTTTTAACTGGTTGAGCCATCTCTGCACTCAAAATGTACCCGTACTTCCTCTCTCTCTCCCTCCTTCCCTTCCTTTCTCTCTTCCTCCCTCCCTCCCTGTCTCCCTTCTTCCCTTCCCTTCTTTACTTATTTTATTTACCTGACTATCTATCTATCTATCTATCTATCTATCTATCTATCTATCTATCTATCTATCTATCTATCTATCTGAGAAAGCATCTTCCTATGCAGCCCTGGCTTTCCTGGAACTTACTATGTAAGCAGGGATGGCCTTGAACTCACTGAGATTCACCTGCCTCTGTCTCATGAATGCTGAGATTAAAGGCATGTGCTATTATGCCCAACTTAATTCTTTGTATGAAAGTAAACAGCACTCTGATCCACAGTAATGCAGATTTTCATAAAGACTTTTATGGAGAAGAGCATCACCCTTGAGGTTAAACCTTCAGATGCTATAGAAAATGTAAAAAACCAAGATCCAGGTTAAGGAAGGAATTCCTCCTGCTCTTTGCTGGTAAGCAGCTGGAAGATGCCATATTTGGTCTGACTACAACATTCAAAAGGAATGCCCCTTTCATTCTGTGTTGAGACTTGATGGTGGAGCCAAGGAAAGGAAGAAGTCTCAGAGCATTGCCAGGAAGACTAAGCAGAAGAGAAAGAAAGGTTAAGTTGACCGTGCTGGAATTCTGTAAGGTAGATGAAAATGCAGAATGAATTGCCTTTGTTAAGAGTGTCCTGATGAATTTGAAGCTAGAGATGTCATGCTCAGTTACTTTGACAGATATTGCTATGGTGAGTGTTGTCTGACTTAACCTCTTCAACCAACCAGAAGACAAATGATGGTATGAGTTAACAAAAAGACAAGAACAAATTTAAACATAAACAAATACATTCATCTAATTAGTATACAAATTTGATTTAGTCTTTACTGGATGGTGAAATTATATGTATACCAAAGAAATTGTTTTAAGACTTTCTGAAGTTTTTTTTTTCCTTTTATTATTGTAAGTGCATTATTGTGCATGTGTAGGCATGTTGGGGTGGGACAACAGGACAACTTCATGGAACCATTTCTCTCAATTCATCTTTGTATGGTTTCTGAAGTTTGAACTCAGATTATTAGGCTTGTACACTCAAATAAAGCATTTTTACCTGCTAAGCCACTTGCTAGCACCCAAAAAAAACTGTTTGAAGAGAAATGTCTTTATGATTTATTATCAGTAAATCCTTAAATTGTATGTCTATTTTATGTATTTACATGCCTCGGGTTGCATAAAATTTTCCCGTGTGAAAAGGGGTCATTCTAAGGTGGCTGGTTAAAATTACTGTTTTCACAGCCCCTATGGCTGATTCAAACATATTAAAAGCATCCAGGTCTGCCTACTTTTTAAAGCAGAATTCAGATCTGTAGAGTTTGCTGGGTCTAATTTTTAATTTAACTCCATTGATACATGAGTGAAATCATGGCATGGTTATTTGAGAGGACGAATGGGAGAGGCAGGTCAAGATGAAAAATGACATCCAGTGCAGTTTTGTGCTCTATTCCTCTCTCAGTGGGTGTGCTGACCTGGAGATGGGATGTCAAAGACGATGGAGAATGGAGCAACAAAGACTATCAACATGGTCATAAGACCCAATGAAAGGGAAGACTAATGCTGACGCAACTCCGTGGTTCCTTCACTTTACAGTGGGCTTGCATAGCTACTGAGCATCACACAGGTGACAATGCCACGGAGTGATGTGGCATTCACTGAGGACAGGAAATTGGAGTCATAGTACTATATTCTAAGACTCTGGACTCAATCATACTATGAACATGAAATGTCCCTCAAGGGGCTTCTTTGCCAGGGGATTGACTTTGAGAAAACAGAGGGAGAATCTTAGGACTCTTATCTAATTAATGCAGTCACCTGCTTATGGATTCATTACATAATGCCGATATCAAGAAGTGGTAAAAGGAATTTAGACCTACTTGGATGGAGGAAGTAAGTCACAGAATCCACATCCTGGTCCCTTCCCATCTTCCTTTTTCTCTGTCTTTCATTTACCATAAGAAGGAAAAGTTCCCTGCCATGAATTTGCTGCTCTACCCAAGCACATGAGGAGGCCAAGAACCCTCCAAAACCTTGAGCCAAAACAAACTCCTTAACTTGTTCTCACAGGCTCTTCAGTCATACAATGCAAAAATAACTTATCAGAACTTGTTATAATCTGGAGAAGATACAAACTGTAAGGAAAGAATACAGAAGCACCTGGACAAGGGCGATGGCTGAGATTTATACTTCCATCTGTCACCCCAAAATGGAAAACTAACTAGAAACTAGCAGGAGGGGCAAATCCATGGGTTCTGGTCAAATTTAAGGAATTTCTCTCTTGGCATCATAACAATTTAATGTGACAATCATTTCTATGTATATTTTAGAAAACCAACATTTATGGTTATTTGATTGAAGAAAGGGCTGTATTCATCATTTACTTCACATACCTGGCTTACTACCACAATATCTCAGCTGAGCGAAACAAGTACATTTCTCAGTCAGCTACAAGCTACAAGCAATTGATTTACTTCTCTAGTTAGTGATGCCAAACCCCAGTCCTTCAACTCATCCACAAACCAGTTTCCATGCTCTAGAAACAGCCGCTGAAGACTTCCTGCCCCAGAACAGATGTTCTGATCCACCAAACATAAAGGCCTTTGGTCCAGTTGTTCCCAACTGGTATCTCCAAACTTTGGTATCTCTAGAACATTTTTTTCTGAAGGCCCTTATATACATCAACCGTCTGTTTGAAGTTTATCTGCCTCCCTAAGGAGGACAAGGACATATCTTCATATATAAAACAACTTTGTGGCACCTTTGAAAGCAGCAACCCTTCATCCTGTAGTAGAGTTTAGTTTTTCAACACTCTTTGGTATCTTTCTTCACATCAAAAGCACTTAATTTTCCTTCCCCAAAATATCTATGGTAGAAATATGCCATTCAGTATCAACCATCAGTTAGCAAAGCATGAAGTATATGCATGTGTGGATGAATGTGATGTACAAGACTGCACAGTTTACACACACATACAAGTCCACAGACATTTAGACAAACATAGTTGTACAGCTTATTGAAAACAAATAGTTTGAAAAGTTAACATATAGTTACCCTTAGAACAGTGTATAGTACATATAGATTTAAACACATGCTTTTACATATGCATTCAAATATAACATATATATTATAATAGGTACAGTTTTCTCTCACTTTATCTTTAGCCACTATAATCTCTCTAATGGTATTAGTAACTACTTTATGTCTCTTTCTGTGATTGAAAATGTGTTTTCCTCAGTAAAAAGTGTTTTGAATTAGTACCTGAAAATGACCAAGGTACCCCCTTTCAAATTTAAGCATCTGGGAATGGAAAGGTTTGGATCCAAGAAACAAATTACTATGTATCACTAACCCTGGCTTCACCTTGCAAAGTACTCCTTTAAAATCATTCCCAATTCCATATGGTTATGCAAATCACTATCTGAACAGACTGGTTCCAGGGTTAGCATGCTCCATACTTAGTAAGGTGAGGACTTAACAGACTAGGTTGTAACAAAGTAGCAGGCTTACAACAAGCTATTTATGTGGATGTACATGACAGCCAAAAGCAGCATGATACCGAAAGTGGTGATCCCAGAGCAGTGGGTCTTTTTCACTCCCCTTAGTCACCCCTATTTTAAAAGTGTTATTATTTGTATAATAAACCACCAGGACCTGCATTAATATACACTGGAGCAGTAAAAGTAGGGTGCTGGGTAACACTTACACAGAAGCCATTGGCAGCCTGTGTATACGACCCACAGTAAGTGGCCTAGTGTCAGCATAGACTTGCCCACCCTGAGTGCATACTCTATTACCCATGTTAAAGTGACCCACAAAGTAATGTGGGGCTGTGGGTGAAGCTTGGAGGTAGAATCCTTGCCTAGCATGCACAAGTCCCTGGTTTTCATCCTCAGAAAAAACCAAAAATGTGAAGTAATATGACAGTCTATGTGAAATCTCCTGTTTTTATGAGAGACCTTGCTGGGGCTTTTGTTGTTGTTGTTTTGATTTGTTTTTTGTATTTTCTTATTATAACTGAGAATGATCCTGGCCTTTTTATACTTTCTTATAATTGGGGGTAGTCCTAGCCTTTTTGTGATTTCTTATAATGATTTCTTATTATAACTGAGAATGATCCTGGACTTTTTATATTTTATTATTATAATTGGTGATAGTCCTAGCCTTTTTGTGCTTTTGTGTAAATGGGAATGGTCCCGGCCCTTGACTACCTTCCTGGAATCCAGAGCAGAAGTTAACAGACTTGGCCACATGGGCACCACAGGTCTAATGAATCTGATGTGTTTATACTGGAATATTTTCCAGCATGCTCCCCTGTTCTTTCTTTCATGTAGAGTAAGAGACAGAGTGTACAGCCTTCTGTCTAGGGCCCTTGAAGGCTACTCTCCACCGTCTAAGAAAAACCTCCCACCACAGTGCCAAATCTTCTCAGGCCATGGGGCTGAGATGTGCTCGCAGTGTATACTGATGCTGTATTCTCAGAGTAAAACATTTGTCTCTAGGCAAGATGCTCTGTTACAGACTCTCGGCATGTCTGACATGCTGATCTCCATGCACCCCACAAGGATTTGCAGTAGCACAGAGTGGTGGTGGCTCCCCAGCCCCCCTGAGATAGTGCCATTCTGAGCTATTAGTGCCTGTTGGTCCTCGGGTGGCAGCTGGTCTGAACAAGACCTTCCACACCTATCCAGCAGAACCGTTCCACGCATTCTGCTTTGATCTGGGCAAACCCCACACTTACAGCCATAAATGCATTGGCACTGAGAGGGACTGCTGAGGATGTGGCACTCCAGGTGTGGCTTTATCTGGCACTCCACCGGCTCAGCTATTTAGGCCTAGTCTTCTCCATTGGCTTGAAGCTCTGTTCACACCATCTTGGGTAACACATCACATTATTCTTCCTTATAAAAACAAATAAACTCAAATGAGCATTCGGGGTCAGGTCAGCTGTCTGAACATCTCCGTCTTCCCCTCTGATTGATGTGCCTCGGTTTTCACCCCACCCCAAAAACCTCCCAGACTCTCAACTGAGAACTGGCCAGACGCCTCCCTTCATCTCCTCAGTCTGTCCACCTTGCTCACGTCCACGGATGCACACAGTCCCCAGGAGGCTCAGCCTGCTGGCCACCACTGAGTCACTAGGAACACAGCACTGCAGTACCTAGCACTACCCGCCACCAGCTACAGCCGCAAGTTAAGCCACTGTACTCCCACCCTACAGGAAGCTCAGCTGTCCCGAGAGGCTGGACCAAAATAAAAAACAAATGTCTCTGTACTTATATGGTTCCCCTCTGACCCAGTGCATCTGAAATTTACCCAGTTCTGGAGAACAAGGAGCTGCACACATTAGTTCCTAGGCAGCTCGGCTGCTCGTAGCAGCTGCTTTCTAAAAAGCATTTCTGGAAAAGAGAAAACAAACTCCAATCCACTTCAAAGCAACACTGCCCAAGTCTAAAATCATGGCTGGAACGAAAACTTACAACTCAAGAAGGCATCGCATGTTTTTTTTATAAGTGAGTGTGGGGACATAATATGAGAATTGCTAAGGGTCTCAAGGAACCCAGCCGGGGAGGCTGGTGACTAAACTCAATAGTTGTCTCTTTTATTTCTCAATCCTACCTGCAAGAGTGGGCCTTCTTGACTTCAACCCCCCATGTTATGGACTACAGTTCCTTGCAAAAAATTGACCATCTGGTCTTTTTGAAGCACGCTGGGTGAGATGCAAAGTGAGTTTTCAGAAGAAAACTAGAGTTAAGAGTTTCAGCTAGCACAGACAGGAAGGGGAAATGGAAAGCCTTTTCAGAACCGGGGCTGCTGCCTGTCGTGGACAGCAGTTGTGATACATACATTTCACTGACGTATGCCATAGGGGTCTCTGTTTTTCTGTTATAATCTGTTTATTGGGTGATTTAGCCAAAGAACCTTATATAACACAATCCTGTTTTGAATGTGGCCACATGCATGGCATTGCACTCATAAAATTCAGATGCCCCACAGACTGTCCCATGGGCCACCTCGATCATCCCTCCTTGCAAGGTTTCTATGTAAGTGACATAAAAACAGGTGCTACCACTAGGAATAGTAGAAAGAAGAACCCAGCCATCAGTTTTAACCTCTGTGCACACTGCACAACATACTATGCTACAAATTTAGGGATTGCAGAAAATCCTTCCATCTTGATTGTAAAACATTGCAGGGGGCTGAGCTCTCAGGGAGACAGGAGTCCAGTTCTCTAAGACCAAACATATGTGAGTTCACTTCGGTCTGCCAGGACATAGTGCAGGGACACCACCTACCGCCTCTGCACTGGAGTATTGTGTGCACGACCCTTGCATCTGATTTCCTTAACAAAGAAGCAGCAGAGACGGCACCGCTTGTCGGGCCAGTAAGCACATAATAACCGCTACAGCTGAGGACCTTCCATTCATGCTAGCTCAACAAACAGTGTTATTATATAATGAATGAGTCGTTCCTGTGAACCCTGTGGCTGGAAAAAACAGCACTTTCTGCACAGTTTTAAACAGGTCTTCAAGGGGCAGTTATCCCTCATGAATCCAATGTGGCCCTGGTGACACAGAAATCCCAACAACCTATTCTCGTAGGTGGCTTCGCTATCAAGTTAATTTCCCTTCTGCCTTACAATAAATAATTTCAGTTAGCTGCAAACTACACAGAGAATACACAGCTGCCAGCAAGCACCCCAATGCTGTTGGCTTTCAGCTCCATGTTTCCTGCGTTGCCTAAGAAATAGGAGGGGGGAATGGGAGGAGGAAGAGGAGGAGAGAGGGAACCGGCTATGAAATACTTACAGCCTCCGAGTCTTCAACTCCATGCAGGTACAAATCGTCATACATGGAGGGCTGATAATCCACAGCACCTCTTTTAAGGCAAAAACAAAATTGCTGCAGAAACCACAGCCAGAGCTAAAAAAGAAAAAGGCCTCTTTGGAAGAGCTGTGCCTGCTTTATCAATTCCTGTGAATTTACCAGGCAAGATGCTACTCATTCACATCACACAGGGAGAGGTTATCCCCAGAGGCAGTCCAGACCTGGCATCTTATCTGCCTCCCCAACACAGAGCATAAAAAGCAAAAGCCTTCCTCAACCACAGACTGGTGACAGAGCTAGGAAAGCGGCCTCTGATTGGCTCGGCTTCCCTGCTTCAGTCAGCTGAAGAGCCTTCCCTGGGAGAGTGGAGGGTGACTCTGAGCATCCTATCCAGCATAGAGATGCTTCCTGTTTTAACCGTAGCGTTAGTTCTACAGTGAACACTTTGCAGTATCGAAAAGGCTGTTTGAATGCTTAGAAAGGAGGGCTATCAGACACTCAGAACACAGCCACTCATCCTCGTGATTCAGTACACAGTTAGAGGAGGGAGAAAAGGAGGGATTTTATTTTTCACTATTCATAAAGACAGGCAGATACCAATCTCCACCCAACATCTGTATTGTGCAGAGGTGATTTAAGTTAAAGGGACACTAAATCACACAGAAAATTTCAATCTCTGTGAAGGGAAGTGGATAGAATACAGATGGAAAGATTTATGGCATCTCTATAGGAAAAGTTTTCAATATTTTCACCAATCTCTCTCTCTCTCTCTCTCTCTCTCTCTCTCTTCTGTGTGTGTGTGTGTGTGTCTGTCTGTCTGTCTCTCTGCCTCTCTCTCTCCCTCTCCCCCCCTTCCTCCCTCCTTCCCTCCCTTATTGGAAAGATAACACCTCTGTGTTGCTAGTGGAGTCTGGAGAGGAAGCCCAAAACCTCCCAACTTTTAGATGCAAAATTGAACATTCTTCTAGTTCAATTTGTTTAACATTCCTCTTTAAGTACCAGACTAAGTTTTTCTTAGAACTCTTCATCTGCTTCCTGTACATAAACCTGTAACAGTTCATAACAGCATTGATTATTCCCTCCAATTCCCACACCATACTCACAATGGCCTAGGACAAACTCTGTAATGGTGTTACCTGAGAAGGAGTTCCCCCATGTAACTTATGGTTGTCTGCTAGCCAGTAATGGATTACAGCCTGAACCAGGAAAATTGACAGATCACTCTAAAAAGAACACAGCTAGATTTGGAAAGAGGGGCAAACAACATCATCTAGAGAAGCTACATAAGTCACAGGAGTAAAAAATAACCCAGAAACCCCACATCAACTTTGCCACCAACTTGCCAGCTGATCTGGGCCAGTCAGTCATCGCCTCTGTGGGTTTTTGTTTCTTCAGCTTCAACATTGAGGGGAAAAAAGAACTCAGACAATGAACTTTGCATGTCTAAAATGCAACATAAACATTTACCAGTGACAACCCTGCTTTGTCAGCCAGAAGGCATTGGTTGCAGTTCATGGGAGCTCAGCAAGGAGTCACTGGTCCAGACTGGGAAAGGTCAGTCTCCCAGTCTGTGTCTCTGAAAAGCCTAAGACTAGAGCAACAACCCACCGAGCCATCCAAAGTCACCCAAGAGCTACCACAGCTTAGGCTCACACACCCATTCTTCCAGGTTTGTGATGAACCAACCATTAATGGCTTTCAGTCACACTTGTGGATCTCAGTACCTAATCACTTTTGAATCTACTGGGTCCTCCACACTCTCTAGATGGCAAGTTCACACAAGATGTTGGCTTTGAGTCTCTGCCTACCCAGAAGACAGTGGGAGAAGAGGTATGTTCAACAGAGTCTACACAGAGAATACTGAGCCAGCTCCACAGCTGTGTCCTGGTACAGGATGATGGCCGGTGGACCACCCAGCTCCCCAGAGCACCAATCTACAAGATGACTGGGTTGGAGGAATTCTAAACTCAAATCCATGTCTCAGGTCTGGTTGTATTTTAATATAGTATTATTAATTCTTTGAGGATGCCATACAATGTATTTGCATCATTCATCTCCAACTCCCCCCAGATCCAACTCCACCCTGTCCCTAACTTCAAAATATTGTTTTAATGAGCTTTTAAAATACTGCCATACAATGTTTTAGAATATACAGAAAGCCAAGACAAGGTCTTCTTTTTTTTCCTCCTCAAATTCTCCAAGATAGTTCCTTATTTTACTACTTCAACTGAGAGCATAGCCGTTTCCTGATTGTTTTAAAACAAGAATCAGTTAAAGGGAGAGAAAAGAAGTTGTCTGCTTTCAGAATCGACCAAAATGGGTGAAACCTTCCCTGCTGGGAAACTGTACAAGGCTCAACAGCTCCCCCACATCTGGCTGCCTCATGTACTACCTACTAATGCTGATGCAAAGCCTACAAGGCGGGTTGTAAGGAGCTGGGACTTGCTTCACGAGCCACTCCCACAACAGTCTGCCATCTGACTCAGGGTGGGCTTGTCAGTACAGAAGCCCTGAGTCAAGCACAGCAGCTGTGTTACTCCTTGCAACCCCACACCCAGCTTAGGAAGGGTAAGAGTAGATGTATAGCAGGACCAGGCTGCCTCTGCCTGCTTCCCATGAATCAGAGACAAATGTCAGACTCAGAATCACTAGCCAATAAGGGACCCCAGAAGTCAGCCAAGCAAGGTGCTTCTCCTACTTGGAAAGGAAAATTGCTTTCTTCAAAGCCTGTATTCTATACATGTTTTCTTAGCTTGTATTATATGCAACTTAAGAGTGTTCACTTCTTTCCCTGGCCCTGTCCCCACAAATGGCATAACTGGTTTTGCTCTTTCTGCCCCCCCCAACACCTCCATCCTTTTCTCCCTCCCTTCTATTCCCTTCCTTCTGTTACAAGGGGTCTCACTCTGCTGCCAAGCTATCCTCAAACTTGAGATCTTCCAACTACCACCTTCTGATATATATATATATATATATATATATATATTCTCACTAGACCTAGAACTCACCAGTTTTGAGGACCTACCATCTGGGATTACAGACACACACTGTATCTTTCACATGGGTGCTAAGGATCTGGGTTTGGGTCTTCATGTTTGTGCAGAAGAAATGAACCATCTCCCCCGCCCCTAACTACCTCCATGATGAAGCTTTCAAGTTAGTGAGAGGCAGGGAGCATGTTCCCACCAGTTATTGGTGAAGTACAGAAAGGTCACCATGTTCGGGTGTGAGGGTGGGGGTCCTGTGCCTTTCTACTTTCTTCATTGTGAAAAGTGTCTAATCAAAAGCCAGTGGTGGGGGGCAGTGAGGTGGTGTAGAGGGTAAAGGTGCTTGTATTACAAGCTGAAAGACCTAGGTTCAATCCTCAGGTAAAGGGGGAAGGAGAAAACTAATTTCCACAAAGAAGTCCTTTGACCTAAACATGTATGTATACACACACACACACACACACACACACACACACACACACACACACACACGAGGAATACACATACACAATTATTAAAACTAAATTTTAAAAGCCATTTGGTCACCCATAAGCTGAGAGCTTCAAACTGAACAACAGACTGGGAAGTCTGCCCCCTTCAGGACTGGAACCCATCCAAACCCGTCACCCAAAGGTTTCAGCCCAGTATTTGGGTAGATTCCATAGTTCAGAAGAACCTTGGTGAGGGACTTGGTTCCAGAAATCTTCAAAGGATGTAGACATCAACAGAAAAAAGAACTTAGAACTGTGGGAGAACTTGTCCATCTCTGTCCCCAAATGCACTGTCTGGCTTAGAAGCCCTGAAAGGTCCCTCGAAGCCTCCTATTTCACACCATCTCAAGTCCCCAGCTTTTGATGAAGAAATGCAGTGAGTCTATCAGGTTCAAGTTCCAAGAGCCAAATTTCATGGGTATCCCCCACAGCAAGACGTGCAAAGAAACCAAGGATGGGACACTCATGCTTTTGACTGTGAATTTTCCAGGCTAAAAGAATGAGAGAACCACTTCCTCCTGGTTTCCCATCTCAGACTAAACTGGGATTACTGGAAAGCCCAGAGGTTTGAATTGCATTGGTATTTCAGTACCACACTTGCCTCTATGGACTGAGTGGCTTCAAAACCACAGAGCCTCCCAGAGGCTGTCACAAATGTGAGGGTGCTCTCCCAACCAGGTTTCACCAACATGCTTCCTTTTACCACTCCATACATGCAGTGGCTCAAGTCAGAAGATTCAGCTGTATCCTTCTGTGTCTAGAACTCCTACATGGTTCTTGCAGAGCTTCATCTTGGTATCTGACAAATGCCTCAACTGATTTGGTAAGATGAGGAAATACCAGGGTCCTTACCAAGACACCTGGTATGGTAAGACACTTCTTTCCACTTAGTCTTTGTTGACTCCAGACATAGTGACCTATGAGAAGTGACTTTTTTTACTGAGTGCTGAGCCCTGTGGTTCAGTAAATTCATGGGTTTGTTAGGAGAATAGGGCACCAAGTATTTTTGCCTTCTATGTGTTTGGTAAGGATGGTGAAGAGGGACAGAAAAGGCGAGAATAACGTGATATGCTATGAGTTGTGGTAGCCATGAGCAAGAGAGTTGGAGCAGTTTCAGAAGCAAAAGAAATTGATACACAACTTTTTTTCAGCCAGATTTCTCTGAAATTTAACTCTTCTAAGCCAATGTAATTATATATTCAATGGCAGGACTCTTCAAGGTCCAGAAAGAGGCCAAGGAATAATGTTTGGGCTCAGCAAACCCAGCCTTCCTTTTGGCTCCATGGACTGGAACACAAGCTCAAGGTCTTTGGCAGTTTAACCCTGGGAATTATAGTGCTATTTTGTCAGTGAGCATGGCCTGCTGGCTGATTTTCTCCTCTTCTCTGCAAGCACCCAAGCACTCCTTTGCCTCTAGAACTCTGTGTGGCATTCTAAGTGTTAATATCAGAGCTCCTCCCAGACTCCCTCAGACAGGTGGTGGCAATGTGGCACAAAGAAGAATGAGAGAAAAATAAAATTTAAAACCAACAACCACAGACATCAGATAGTAATTTTCACTATCATCTTCTGAGTTTTTCTTCAGCCTCACTACCCAGGCATGTCCTGGAATCTCGTTTGTAACTTCAAGGCAACAAATGAGTCCAAGAACTAATTACCTAACATGTGAAAGGCACAGAGGAGGTAGAGTGGAAGAACTGGCTTTTGTTTAAGGTAAGCAGAATAGAAGCAAGGCTGTGTAGATAGACTACCACCCTGAAGGCCCACTCAGTGCATTGTGGGTAAAGGCAGTCCTTGGGCCATGTATTTGCATTGGGAGTGTCAGGACCTACCACTGTGTAACAGGAACACTACAGAGCCAGGAGGTTATGAGGAAGGACCCGAGAGTCAGGCTGCCTGCATTT